GTCACCACGGCGCTTGTGCCAGGCTATGTGCACGGGGCACATCCAGGTGTCATGGGTCGACTGATATAGATGACTGGCCAATGCACCACCTGTGCCCCCGACTGTGCCAACAAACAGTGTCCACACACAATGTTCACGTTATTGTTGAGCTCACGCACCCAATGGGTCTCTGTTCAAGAGAGGGAGCCACAGAAATGGAATCTAAATAAAATTGAACTCTAACCCTGATCTCGCTCTCTGACGTCACCCCTCATTAACTCGGCGTGATATGCGAGGGTGAGGTGTCCCCCACTAGTGACGTCATGTCACTGAGGTAATTACCCCCCCACCGGGATTTTGAGCGTGACGTCACGTCTACCGATTTCCGTTCCAGTAAAATGCTTATTTGGGACGGGGACGGCAGTCAAGCACCATCACCTGACATGGGCCCCTCTCATTAACATAATTTATTCAGTTACCCTGCTGCTCGTTGGAGGAGGGGATTGTGTGAATCCCGCAAGTGACGTCATGTCACCTCCTGCTGCCGCATGACGTCACGAGTTGCCAGGTAGCTGCTGCTCCGCGCACGATCGCTCACTGAGATCGGAGGTGAGAAGTTTACATCGTTGTTGTTGTTGTGGTGGTTGTTGTTGTTGTTGTGAACCCAGGTAGAGCCTAGCTCCTTCTCCCTCGTAGGGATATCAATTGAGTAGCAGCGAGTATGGAATCGATGTCCAGGTTGGAACATTACAACGCGGGGCCTAGCCATGCAGGGACTTGCCTCCTGCCCTCGCCTGATTGCATTTGCTTTAATTCTCTGCTTAAGTTTAATTTGTCTTCACCTGGCTCACTACTTTGAAACTTTGTTTTACTTTAAATATTTCTACGTTTTTTTTTATTTTACCAGGCATAGCCCACTTGAGCTACACCGCTCGTTTTCAGACGCGACCTGCCCACAACACAGTGGGCTTATCAACGTGTGGAAATCGTCTTGGTTCTTTCGGTAAAGTCACGTAGAAGGGAAGTAATAAAATAATAGAATTAAAACATAATAAAATAATTCTCACGACGTTTCGGCCACAACGCAAGCAGCCGTCCTCAGGTGAAAACCAGGTGTCGACAGACCTGGTTTTCATCTGAGGGACGGCTGCTTGCGTTGTGGTCGAAACGTCGTGAGAATGATTTTATTATGTTTTATTTTGATTATTTTATTACTTCCCTTCTACGTGACTTTACCGAAAGAACCAAGAAGATGAACCCCTGCAGTCACGAAAGCTTAAATCGAAATTTAACGTGTGGAAATGTTTATCGGTCAAATACTCTAAACGCGTGGTGATGTTGACTCTAAATGTGCAGTGAAAACCGCAGGATTCGGAGGAAAATCCACGCGACCACGGAGAGAGAGGGACACGCAAATGCCAAATATACAGCCATAATACAGGTTTGTTTGTGTGAGATCGTGTAAATAAATAAATGTGTCGTTCACCCCGCTACCACCCGATACATCCAATTAATAAGGGGTTTGTCACGTAAACAGAACGTGGCCAATGCGTCACTAGTACAGCACTAGTGTGTAGTGTATAATACTGTAGTGTATAGTAGTGTGTAGTGTATAGTGTAGTGTACTAGTACAGCACATCGGTGTGTTGAAGAGCCAAGCCACAACATTTACAATCTGAGTACAACGTTTTGAAACTATTTCCAACCAGCTTCATCAGACGACAGCCACATGTTGTGGCTTGGCTCTGTGGGAATAGAAATCGGCTCGTTGGGTTAATAGCGCAGCACGCTAACCGTTGCACTACCGCTCCCCACTCACGCACAAACTTTATCGGAAGTATAGTATCCAGTAATAACTAAGTTTCCCGGCTTAGCTCAGGTGTCGGTAATCAAACATTAAAAGTAATGTCTTGCCATGCTGGCTTTATTAGAATAATTTAATTCTGCCAAAGAAAGCTGTAAATGTGTATATTGTCACGGTTTTGTGGTTGTGTTATACAATAGCGGGGCTTGTTTGTTTCATGAGGACAGCTTTTAAATACGTTGCCCTTGGAAAGCTTCAGGATGGACAATTCATAATCAACGTTTTTGGGTTTAGATCGCGTTTATTTATAAATGTGTCGTAACCCTCCACCACCCGACACGGCCAATCAGTAAAAAAGTGTCACGTTGACAAAGACAAATAGTTCACTGCTTTAGCCCACCGGTGTGTTGAAGCCACAACATTTACAATTTAGTACGACGTTTCGCTGGTAATTGCAACCAGCATCATCGGGCAATTGCCCGATGATGCTGGTTGCAATTAAAGCAGTGAACTATTTGTCTTTGTCAACGTGACACTTTTTTACTGATTGGCCGTGTCGGGTGGTGGAGGGTTACGACACATTTATAAATAAACGCGATCTAAACCCAAAAACGTTGATTATGAATAACATTGGTCGCGAAAGCCTACGTGTTAAACTGAGGATGGACAATGTTAGATTTTTGCCATCTGGTGGTGTTGGCACAATTTGGTTCCCAAAAAAACGTTCATATGCACAAAGTTTGCTTTATTTATATAGATTATATATATGCTCAAAGCTCGTGTGCTGTTTCATTCAGACTGTCGCCTCGACGGACCTGGTTTTCACCTGAGGACGGCTGCTTGCGTTGTGGCCGAAACGTCGTGAGAATAATTTTATTATGTTTTATTTGTATTATTTTATTATTATTTTATCTTTAGACGTGACTTAACCGAAAGAACCAAAGAGTAATCAGGCAGTTCTACATGTGGTGGAGGAGCTCCCATGCCTGGTTAATGTGTTCACGACCAGCTCTGGTTTGGCAGCCAAAGTCTCACTTTAAATTTGTCTAGCAGCATTCTTTCATTAGACTGTGTAACACTGTGTGGAAGCTGCCTGGACTTTTGCGCTATACAAAGCTGTGAGTGTCCATCACCAAGGTCTAGTCTGTCTGAGACCATCCCTCTCCCTGCCATACTGGCAACGCACCCGCCTCTCACTCTTCGTACTGTGGATGGTGGGCGCACAGGACGGTGCCACGTAGCCATTCCAGGCTGGGTCCAAATGGGTTACGTGGGTCACCGAGCCACCAGGCCTCATTCCACGACTGATATCAATATACAATATCTGTAACGAGGCCCCCCAATAGACTGCCCCTGGAACTGTATCCGGCACGTCCCACTGAGGGAAGTCCCCGGGGCCCGGGCCAGGACATGCTGGTGGGAATGTCGCTTGGCTGGCTTGGGAACGCCTGGGAATTCCCCAGGAAGATCCAGAGGCTGTCGCAAGGGAAAGGGAGGTCTGGACTACCCTACTGAATGTGCTGCCGCTACAACCCTCACCAAGACAAGAGGATTTAGAAATAAACGAACAAAGCTGCGAGTCTTATTGGCCACAGATATTACTCCTTTCTCTGTAGATGCAAAATATTAACTTATTTAAAGGACCGTCTGTTCTGGCTTATAATTAAGACTGGCCAGTCTATGATCCCCTCTATTGAACCAAACAAGATTGTATTATAACCTTACAGAGCCCTAAAATATCAGTACAGAATATAATCTGAGACTTTGGCAGGGGAGGCTGCATTGGTTGGGGCATGAATTCCGCATAAACAGACAGCATGCACAATCATCTTCTGTTAGTCCAGATGTTACGGGCTAAACGGGCATGGCATTGGCTAGAGAAGAGATTGGAGGATGTGGAGTTGATCAGACCTGCTGTCAAGATCGGCCTCTCGAAGAGGCCCGTGACATATGCTGCAGGGGAGTTGGAGGTATTTGCTCTGCAACAACAATGAGGTTGGAGTAGCAACGATCACATGAATGGGTGGAACGCTGGGTGCCTCAAATGCAGCAAGACAGCAGGAAAAACAGCTGGTGCGTCTGTTAATCATCTCAGTCAGTCATCCCTTGACACCTGGATCATTCCCATGACATGCTGACAAGTGATCCACACTTACATGGCATTCATGTGAAATATATGTGTATGTAAGAGTTTATCTATGTGGGGAGCGGTGGCGCAGTTTTTCCACTGTGTAACAAAAACAATGTCTTGTTCCTGGGTAGTATGTGTTATTTCCTAATTGCTTTTGCCTCTTAAGTACAAAAAATGGCTATTCCCCACAAACTTTGCTTTTGTGACCAGGACAGTGATATTTAGAAATTTACCTCTTTTCAATGAAAAAACTGGTGAATTTGTTATTTTCGTTCACGTACAATTCTGGTCACAAAAGCAAAATTTGTGGGGAATAATAGCCAATTTCTAGACTCTTAGGCATAAGCAATAAAAAAATAACACTTAGTACCCAGGAACAAAAATTGTGTTACATAGTGTTATCACAATTAAAGTTTGATTATCTCCGACAACAAACGTGATTGATTCGTGAAAACTTAACTTATTATGGGGAAGCATTAATACTGAGCATATGAAGGTGGCCAGGCATGGTTCTGAACACACCACCACCTTTTTTCCATGCCAGTGTGTGTTACAGTGTCAAGTTTGTATTTGCAGTAAAGTATATTAACTCGATTGAACACGGAGGTTAAATCAAAACAATAGTATATACTTTTTTTCTTCTGAAAATTTTTTAGGAGAATGGAAACAGGAAATTAACACTGCACATATGCAGCTGAAGTTAGATCTGTTCATCCCAGCATTCAAGGAAATCTGAGCCTGGCTTCATGCCTCTAAGTTAGCGATTGAACATTAATTTATGCATTCTGCATAAAAAAAATAGTATTATTTTCAACACCCTTTGCTATGTTAGCTGCATTTTTCTTTTATAAATATTCCTTTTGTAGCCAGACTACCGAAATTGTGTGCTTGGAGTTTTAGGTTAACATTCATTTTGAAGATACTAGGGCTTCCAGGTTGACCATTTGCCCTCTAATTGTGTGCCCGTGTGATGAATTTGGGAATCTTTTTCATATTATCATGAATATGTGAATGAGTATAGACATGCAAGTCATGTGTGACTGTATATATGCATTCCTTTGTGCCTCAATACTGACGTAAATGGTGTGGATATTCTCTTTTTTCTCTCTGCAGCTGACGCTTCCTCTGCAAAATTGGTTTGATGGAGCAAAGGCACTCAGCGCAGCTCGGTACAAAAAGGCAACAACGCGACCAGCGTGCATACAGCACGGATCGTGTTGGACATTTAACACAGCACCAGAGAACTCACACAGGAGAGAAACCCTTCAAGTGCACTGTGTGTGACAAGGCATTTTCATATCCATCAGTTTTAAGGAACCACCAGAGAACACACACGGGAGAGAAACCCTTCAGTTGCACTCTGTGTGGGAAGGCGTTTGCACGTTCACAAAATCTTAAAATACACCAGAGAACACACACAGGAGAGAAACCCTTCAAGTGCACTGTGTGTGACAAGGCATTTTCACATTCATCAGTTCTTAGGATCCACCAGAGAACACACACGGGAGAGAAACTCTTCAGGTGCAGTCTGTGCGGGAAGGCGTTTTCACAGTCATCTGGTCTTGTATCGCACCAGAGAACACACACGGGAGATAAACCCTTCAAGTGCAGTGTGTGTGGGAAGGCATTTTCAGATAAATCTCCTCTTAAAAAACACCGGATAACACACACAGGAGAAAAACCCTTCAAGTGTAGTCTGTGCGAGAAGGCGTTTTCACAGTCATCTGCTCTTGTATTACATCAGAGAACTCACATGAGAGAGAAACCCTTCAGTTGCACTTTGTGTGGGAAGGCGTTTGCACATTCACAACATCTTAAAATACACCAGAGAACACACACAGGAGAGAAACCCTTCAGTTGCACTCTGTGTGGGAAGGCGTTTGCACAATCACCATATCTTAAATTACACCAGAGAACACACACTGGAGAGAAACCCTTCAAGTGCACTGTGTGTGGGAAGGCGTTTGCACATTCACAACATCTTCAATTACACCAGAGAACACACACGGGAGAGAAACCCTTCAAGTGCACTGTGTGTGACAAGGCATTTGCACAATCATCACATCTTCAAGCACACCAGAGAACACACACGGGAGAGAAACCCTTCAGTTGCACTCTGTGTGGGAAGGCGTTTGCACAGTCATCAATTCTTAAAAGACACCAGAGGACACACAAGCATCAGAAGATCCCCAAGAAATGGAGTCTGAAATCGGCTTGTGAAAGTCAAAGTGCTGCAATGAGCCCATCCCTCATGAAACCAGAAGTGAATCCCAGCTTGGACACTTTTAAAGGTATCAAGGTGAAATGTGAAGAGGCGAAGGTGAAATGTGAAGAAGTGATGAAGAGCGAAGATGTGAAGGTGAAATGTGAAGTGATGGTGAAGAGCGAAAAAGTGACGGTAAACTGTGAAGATGAAGATTCAACTCCAAAATCGTACCTTCACATCGATGGAGACAACGTGAAGCAGGAGGAGAATTCTGACTGCGAGGCAGAGCTAGGCAACTCCCAGCAGTTTGTGGAAGTGGAGGTGTGGGTGGACTTCTTAGACAATACAAAGTCAAATGGAGACCCGGTAGATGGGTAGGCTTGAGACAATGAAGCTCCAATAGATGCACCTTTGTCACAGGCCTTTAATGAAAAGAACGTGAAATTGAACACTGAATTCCTGGGTTCAACCTGCAGAGTAAGAGCGGCGAGTATTTGTTGACCTGTGGGTTGGGTAGATGAAGTATCAGGAGCAAGAGCCAATAAGCTTCTAAGTATTCCACTGTTATATTTATATTAGCATTGATATGGTGTTTAATTGCCTCAGCAACTCAGTTTTATATCTCATCACAAACACTCGAAGAGCACCTTCAAGTGGCAGCTGCCTCTGTCATAAGGTGACTCTGCTGTCACCTGCATGTGGGCATGAGTCTGTCAGTAGGGGGTGATGATGTGTAATCTTCATTATGTAATTTCTGGATAATGTTTGAAATTGCCCAAATATTGTCCATGACACCAACATGCAATGACCTATGCGTTTTGAATGACACAATCTTAAGCAGACGGTGCATATTTTGTTAAATGTTCCTTGAGTAGCCAGACGTGCCTGTCGGATTTGAACCTTGAACCTCTGCAATAAATAGAGAATGTGCTTCTACTTGGCTTCCCTCAATCTGAGTGTAGGCATGACAGCCTGAATGTGTCTAACTGGCGCAGATGTTCCATTTAGAGGGGTCCACGTTTCACATGCCTACATTAGGGAGGGCATGACTGGCCGAGAAGAACCGAAGCTTCATGTGGAGCGACAGACCAGGCAGCTTCTACACAGCATAGCGCAGCCGATGTAAATATAATGCCACCCGACTGATTCGGACCACCCACACTACACGCAGTATACCCACAAGATCTACACACACCATGTACACAGCGTACACACAGTTTGCCCACACAGTATACAAACAGTCTGTACACGCACCGTGTATACACACAGTAACAACCGCCATTCGCCACTAAGTGGCGGTGACGTCACCACGGCGCTTGTGCCAGGCTATGTGCATGGGGCAGATCCAGGTGTCATGGGTCGACTGACTTAAATGACTGGCCAATGCACCACCTGTGCCCCCGACTGCGCCAACAAACAGTGTCCACACACAATGTTCACGTTGTTGTTGAGCTCACGCACCCAATGGGTCTCTGTTCAAGAGAGGGAGCCACAGAAATGGAATCTAAATAAACTTGAACTCTAACCCTGATCTCGCTCTCTGACGTCACCCCTCATTAACTCGGCATGATATGCGAGGGGGAGGTGTCCTCCATTAGTGACGTCATGTCACCGAGGTATTTACCCCCCACCGGGATTTTGAGCGTGACGTCACGTCTGCCGATTTCCGTTCCAGTAAAGTGCTTATTTGGGACGGGGTCAGCAGCCAAGAACCATCACCTGACATGGGCCCCTCTCATTAACATAATATATTCAGTTACCCTGCTGCTCGTTGGGGAAGAGGATTGTGTGAACCCCGCAAGTGACGTCATGTCACCTGCTGCTGCCGCATGACGTCACGAGTAACCAGGTAGCTGCTGCTCCGCGCACGCTCGCTCACTGAGATCCGAGGTGAGAAGTTTACATCGTGGTGGTTGTTGTTGTGGTGATTGTTGTTGTAGTTGTTGTTGTGAACCCAGGTAGAGCCTCGCTCCTTCTCCCTCGTAGGGATATCAATTGAGTAGCAGCGAGTATGGAATCGATGTCCAGGTTGGAACATTACAACGCGGGGCCTAGCCATGCGGGGCCTTGCCTCCTGCCCTCGCCTGATTGCATTTGCTTTAATTCTCTGCTTAAGTTTAATTTGTCTTCACCTGGCTCACTACTTTGAAACTTTGTTTTTACTTTCAATATTTCTACGTTTTTTTATTTTACCAGGCATAGGCCACTTGAGCTACACCGCTCGTTTTCAGAAGCGACCTGCCCACAACACAGTGGGCTTATCAACGTGTGGAAATCGTCTTGGTTCTTTCGGTAAAGTCACGTAGAAGGGAAGTAATAAAATAATCAAAATAAAACATAATAAAATAATTCTCACGACGTTTCGGCCACAACGCAAGCAGCCGTCCTCAGGTGAAAACCAGGTGTCGACAGACCTGGTTTTCACCTGAGGGACGGGTGTTTGCGTTGTGGCCGAAACCTTCGTGAGAATTATTTTGTTTTATTTTGATTATTTTATTACTTCCCTTCTACGTGACTTTACCGAAAGAACCAAGAAGATGAATCCCTGCAGTCATGAAAGCTTTAAATCGAATTTTTAGGTGTGGAAATGTTTATCGGTCAAATACTCTAAACGCGTGGTGATGTTGACTCTAAATGTGCAGGGAAAACCGCAGGATTCGGAGGAAAATCCACGCGACTACGGAGAGAGAGGGACACGCAAACTCCAAATATACAGCCATAACACAGGTTTGTTTGTGTGAGATCGTGTAAATAAATAAATGTGTCGTTCACCCCGCTACCACCCGATACATCCAATTAATAAGGGGTTTGTCACGTAAACAGAACGTGGCCAATGCGTCACTAGTACAGCACTAGTGTGTAGTGTATAATACTGTAGTGTATAGTAGTGTGTAGTGTATAGTGTAGTGTACTAGTACAGCACATCGGTGTGTTGAAGAGCCAAGCCACAACATTTACAATCTGAGTACAACGTTTTGAAACTATTTCCAACCAGCTTCATCAGACGACAGCCACATGTTGTGGCTTGGCTCTGTGGGAATAGAAATCGGCTCGTTGGGTTAATAGCGCAGCACGCTAACCGTTGCACTACCGCTCCCCACTCACGCACAAACTTTATCGGAAGTATAGTATCCAGTAATAACTAAGTTTCCCGGCTTAGCTCAGGTCTCGGTAATCAAACATTAAAAGTAATGTCTTGCCATGCTGGCTTTATTAGAATAATTTAATTCTGCCAAAGAAAGCTGTAAATGTGTACATTGTCACGGTTTTGTGGTTGTGTTATACAATAGCGGGGCTTGTTTGTTTCATGAGGACAGCTTTTAAATACGTTGCCCTTGGAGAGCTTCAGGATGGACAATTCATAATCAACGTTTTTGGGTTTAGATCGCGTTTATTTATAAATGTGTCGTAACCCTCCACCACCCGACACGGCCAATCAGTAAAAAAGTGTCACGTTGACAAAGACAAATAGTTCACTGCTTTAATTGCAACCAGCATCATCGGGCAATTGCCCGATGATGCTGGTTGCAATTACCAGCGAAACGTCGTACTCAAATTGTAAATGTTGTGGCTTCAACACACCGGTGGGCTAAAGCAGTGAACTATTTGTCTTTGTCAACGTGACACTTTTTTACTGATTGGCCGTGTCGGGTGGTGGAGGGTTACGACACATTTATAAATAAACGCGATCTAAACCCAAAAACGTTGATTATGAATAACATTGGTCGCGAAAGCCTACGTGTTAAACTGAGGATGGACAATGTTAGATTTTTGCCATCTGGTGTTGTTGGCACAATTTGGTTCCCAAAAAAACGTTCATATGCACAAAGTTTGCTTTATTTATATAGATTATATATATGCTCCAAGCTCGTGTGCTGTTTCATTCAGACTGTCGCCTCGACGGACCTGGTTTTCACCTGAGGACGGCTGCTTGCGTTGTGGCCGAAACGTCGTGAGAATAATTTTATTATGTTTTATTTGTATTATTTTATTATTATTTTATCTTTAGACGTGACTTAACCGAAAGAACCAAAGAGTAATCAGGCAGTTCTACATGTGGTGGAGGAGCTCCCATGCCTGGTTAATGTGTTCACGACCAGCTCTGGTTTGGCAGCCAAAGTCTCACTTTAAATTTGTCTAGCAGCATTCTTTCATTAGACTGTGTAACACTGTGTGGAAGCTGCCTGGACTTTTGCGCTATACAAAGCTGTGAGTGTCCATCACCAAGGTCTAGTCTGGCTGAGACCATCCCTCTCCCTGCCATACTGGCAACGCACCCGCCTCTCACTCTTCGTACTGTGGATGGTGGGCGCACAGGACGGTGCCACGTAGCCATTCCAGGCTGGGTCCAAATGGGTTACGTGGGTCACCGAGCCACCAGGCCTCATTCCACGACTGATATCAATATACAATATCTGTAACGAGGCCCCCCAATAGACTGCCCCTGGAACTGTATCCGGCACGTCCCACTGAGGGAAGTCCCCGGGGCCCGGGCCAGGACATGCTGGTGGGAATGTCGCTTGGCTGGCTTGGGAACGCCTGGGAATTCCCCAGGAAGATCCAGAGGCTGTCGCAAGGGAAAGGGAGGTCTGGACTGCCCTACTGAATGTGCTGCCGCTACAACCCTCACCAAGACAAGAGGATTTAGAAATAAACGAACAAAGCTGCGAGTCTTCTTGGCCACAGATATTACTCCTTTCTCTGTAGATGCAAAATATTAACTTATTTAAAGGACCGTCTGTTCTGGCTTATAATTAAGACTGGCCAGTCTATGATCCCCTCTATTGAACCAAACAAGATTGTATTATAACCTTACAGAGCCCTAAAATATCAGTACAGAATATAATCTGAGACTTTGGCAGGGGAGGCTGCATTGGTTGGGGCATGAATTCCGCATAAACAGACAGCATGCACAATCATCTTCTGTTAGTCCAGATGTTACGGGCTAAACGGGCATGGCATTGGCTAGAGAAGAGATTGGAGGATGTGGAGTTGATCAGACCTGCTGTCAAGATCGGCCTCTCGAAGAGGCCCGTGACATATGCTGCAGGGGAGTTGGAGGTATTTGCTCTGCAACAACAATGAGGTTGGAGTAGCAACGATCACATGAATGGGTGGAACGCTGGGTGCCTCAAATGCAGCAAGACAGCAGGAAAAACAGCTGGTGCGTCTGTTAATCATCTCAGTCAGTCATCCCTTGACACCTGGATCATTCCCATGACATGCTGACAAGTGATCCACACTTACATGGCATTCATGTGAAATATATGTGTATGTAAGAGTTTATCTATGTGGGGAGCGGTGGCGCAGTTTTTCCACTGTGTAACAAAAACAATGTCTTGTTCCTGGGTAGTATGTGTTATTTCCTAATTGCTTTTGCCTCTTAAGTACAAAAAATGGCTATTCCCCACAAACTTTGCTTTTGTGACCAGGACAGTGATATTTAGAAATTTACCTCTTTTCAATGAAAAAACTGGTGAATTTGTTATTTTCGTTCACGTACAATTCTGGTCACAAAAGCAAAATTTGTGGGGAATAATAGCCAATTTCTAGACTCTTAGGCATAAGCAATAAAAAAATAACACTTAGTACCCAGGAACAAAAATTGTGTTACATAGTGTTATCACAATTAAAGTTTGATTATCTCCGACAACAAACGTGATTGATTCGTGAAAACTTAACTTATTGTGGGGAAGCATTAATACTGAGCATATGAAGGTGGCCAGGCATGGTTCTGAACACACCACCACCTTTTTTCCATGCCAGTGTGTGTTACAGTGTCAAGTTTGTATTTGCAGTAAAGTATATTAACTCGATTGAACACGGAGGTTAAATCAAAACAATAGTATATACTTTTTTTCTTCTGAAAATTTTTAGGAGAATGGAAACAGGAAATTAACACTGCACATATGCAGCTGAAGTTAGATCTGTTCATCCCAGCATTCAAGGAAATCTGAGCCTGGCTTCATGCCTCTAAGTTAGCGATTGAACATTAATTTATGCATTTCTGCATAAAAAAAATAGTATTATTTTCAACACCCTTTGCTATGTTAGCTGCATTTTTCTTTCATAAATATTCCTTTTGTAGCCAGACAACCGAAATTGTGTGCTTGGAGTTTTAGGTTAACATTCATTTTGAAGATACTAGGGCTTCCAGGTTGACCATTTGCCCTCTAATTGTGTGCCCGTGTGATGAATTTGGGAATCTTTTTCATATTATCATGAATATGTGAATGAGTATAGACATGCAAGTCATATGTGACTGTATATATGCATTCCTTTGTGCCTCAATACTGACGTAAATGGTGTGGATATTCTCTTTTTTCTCTCTGCAGCTGACGCTTCCTCTGCAAAATTGGTTTGATGGAGCAAAGGCACTCAGCGCAGCTCGGTACAAAAAGGCAACAACGCGACCAGCGTGCATACAGCACGGATCGTGTTGGACATTTAACACAGCACCAGAGAACTCACACAGGAGAGAAACCCTTCAAGTGCACTGTGTGTGACAAGGCATTTTCATATCCATCAGTTTTAAGGAACCACCAGAGAACACACACAGGAGAAAAACCCTTCAAGTGCAGTCTGTGCGCGAAGGCGTTTTCACGGTCATCTGTTCTTGTATTACATCAGAGAACACACACGGGAGAGAAACCCTTCAGTTGCACTCTGTGTGGGAAGGCGTTTGCACGTTCACAACATCTTAAAATACACCAGAGAACACACACAGGAGAGAAACCCTTCAAGTGCACTGTGTGTGGGAAGGCATTTTCAGATAAATCTGCTCTTAAAAAACACCGGATAACACACACAGGAGAAAAACCCTTCAAGTGCAGTCTGTGCGGGAAGGCGTTTTCACAGTCATCTGCTCTTGTATTACATCAGAGAACTCACACGAGAGAGAAACCCTTCAGTTGCACTTTGTGTGGGAAGGCGTTTGCACATTCACAACATTTTAAAATACACCAGAGAACACACACGGGAGAGAAACCCTTCAGTTGCACTCTGTGTGGTAAGGCGTTTGCACAATCACCATATCTTAAATTACACCAGAGAACACACACTGGAGAGAAACCCTTCAAGTGCGCTGTGTGTGACAAGGCATTTGCACAGTCATCAGGTCTTCATAGACACCAGAGAACACACACGGGAAAGAAACCCTTCAGTTGCACTCTGTGTGAGAAGGCATTTTCATATCCATCAGTTCTAAGGAACCACCGGAGAACACACACGGGAGATAAACCCTTCAAGTGCAGTGTGTGTGGGAAGGCATTTTCAGATTCATCTGCTCTTAAACAACACCGGAGAACACACACAGGAGAAAAACCCTTCAAGTGCAGTCTGTGCAGGAAGGCGTTTGCACAGTCATCAATTCTTAAAAGACACGAGAGGACACACAATCATCAGAAGATCCCCAAGAAATTGAGTCTGAAATCGGCTTGTGAAAGTCAAAGTGCTGCAATGAGCCCATCCCTCATGAAACCAGAAGTGAATCCCAGCTTGGACACTTTTAAAGGTATCAAGGTGAAATGCGAAGAGGCGAAGGTGAAATGTGAAGAAATGATGAAGAGCGAAGAAGTGAAGGTGAAATGTGAGAAAGTGATGGTGAAAAGCGAAAACGTGACGGTAAACTGTGAAGATGAAGATTCAACTCCAAAATCGTACCTTCACATCGATGGAGGCAACGTGAAGCAGGAGGAGAATTCTGACTGCGAGGCAGAGCTTGGCAACTCCCAGCAGTTTGTGGAAGTGGAGGTGTGGGTGGACTTCTTAGACAATACAAAGTCAAATGGAGGCCCGGTAGATGGGTAGGCTTGAGACAATGAAGCTCCAATAGATGCACCTTTGTCACAGGCCTTTAATGAAAAGAAGGTGAATTTGAACACTGAATTCCTGTGTTCAACCTGCAGAGTAAGAGCGGCGAGTATTTGTTGACCTGTGGGTTGGGTAGATGAATAATCAGGAACAAGAGCCAATAAGCTTCCAAGTATTCCACTGTTATATTTATATTTGCATTGATATGGTGCTTGCTTAATTGCCTCAGCAACTCAGTTTCATATCTCATCACAAACGTTCGAAGAGCACCTTCAAGTGGCAGCTGCCTCTGTCATAAGGTGACACTGCTGTCACCTGCATGTGGGCATGAGTCTGTCAGTAGGGGGCAGAGGTGTGGACTCGAGTCATGTGTCTTGGACTCGAGTCAGACTCGAGTCATGAATTTTGATGACTTCAGACTCGACTTGGACTTGCATAACAATGACTTTGTCCCACCTCTGAGGTGTGGACTCGAGTCATGTGACTTGGACTCGAGTCAGACTCGAGTCATGAATTTGATGACTTCAGACTCGACTTGGACTTGCATAACAATGACTTTGTCCCACCTCTGGTAGGGGGTGATGATTGATGTGTAATCTTCATTATGTAATTTCTGGATCATGTTTGAAATTGCCCAAATATTGACCATGACACCAACATGCAATGACCTATGCGTTTTGAATGACAATCGTATGTTTTACATCCACTGTTAAGCAGACGGTGCATATTTTGTTAAATGTTACTGGAGTAGCCAGACGTGCCTGTCGGATTTGAACCTTGAACCTCTGCAATAAATAGAGAATGTGCTTCTACTTGGCTTCCCTCAATCTGAGTGTAGGCATGACAGCCTGAATGTTTCTAACCGGCGCAGATGTTCCATTTAGAGGGGTCCACGTTTCACATGCCTACAGAAGGGAGGGCAAAACTGGCCGAGAAGAACCGAAGCTTCATGCGGAGCAACAGACCAAGTAGCTTCCACACAGCATAGCGCAGCCGATGTAAAGATAATGCCGCCCGACTGATTCGGACCACCCACTGTACACACGCAGTGTACCCACAAGGTCTACACACCATGTACACAGCGTAGACACAATTTACCCACACAGTATACAGTCTGTACACGCACAGTGTATACACACAGTAACAACCGCCATTCGCCACTAAGTGGCGGTGACGTCACCACGGCGCTTGTGCCAGGCTATGTGCACGGGGCACATCCAGGTGTCATGGGTCGACTGACTGAGATGACTGGCCAATGCACCACCTGTGCCCCCGACTGCGACAACAAACAGTGTCCACACACAATGTTCACATTATTGTTGAGCTCACGCACCCAATGGGTCTCTGTTCAAGAGAGGGAGCCATAGAACCAGATGACACCAGAAGGCGTACTACTCAAACACAGTGCAGTATCAGGGAAAGCCGTCTCGGGTGTGGACCAATCAACTTCAAGGACAGTGCATATTATCATTATCAGAGTTGCTTTTTTTGTTTGCATTTTTGACTACTTGTGTTGTGGTTATTGCAAACATGATGCCTTGTATAAAGGTGTCAGTTTTGTACCAGTTTAAAAGGGTAAAAACCTATTACTATAATATACTGTATTCAGTTACCCTGCTGCTCGTTGGGGAAGAGGATTGTGTGAACCCCGCAAGTGACGTCATGTCACCTCCTGCTGCCACATGACGTCACGAGTTATCAGGTCGCTTCGCGCACGCTCGCTCACTGAGATCCGAGGTGAGAAGTTTACATCGTGGTGGTTGTTGTTGTTGTGGTGGTTGTTGTTGTTAACCC